GGAGTGGGGCAGGGCTCTCCAAAAACACATTCCTCCACTGGGAAGCAGCAGCCCGAGCCCTCTCTGGCTCAGGTAACTGAGCAGTTTCATTGCAAAGCGAGAGCTGCTCTATTCTTCCCCAACAATGTTATCACTCAGCAGCTTCACTCCTGCTTATCTAGCAGCTTGAGCATTATCCAGAATGTGGAAAAACTGGGCTCTGTGGCTGCCCCTCTGCCCCAGGGCTCAATGGGGAGAAACACCCTCCCCACCCCCTCTGTGTGTCTTTGGAAGAGTTTAGGCATGGCAGAGCAACCACAGCTCCAGGGCTGAGGATCTCCTCCCAAGGCAGACCCTGTATTTTCCCTGCACCCCAAAAGTCACTGGTGCTCACCTCTGAGCCTCCCCAATGCTCAGCACTTATGGAGCAGAGGTAGCAGGAGCCACAGGACGCACAAACAGCTGTCCAGCTGTGCCAGAGGGAAAAAACCCACTGCCAAATGGCCTGATGCAAGACACAAATACTCACTTGTTACCCAGACAGACACCTCACAGCAGGTGAGGGAAACCTCAAAAGGTGGAGGCAGCAAACAGGATCTCACCTGATCACAACCCAGCTCTGGACCTGCCTAACTGGTGTTCTTCTGGCAGAAGGGCATGATCCCAGAACCTCTGCCAAGAAGGGCAGGACATCCCTCTTTGGGCTCAGCTGAGGAATGTGCCACCAAGAGCAGCATTGAAACCGAACCCTATAGAGCCATCCCCCTGCAGTCCCTCTTCCAGGGCCCTGCGCCGCAGGGAGGCCAGGATATCCCTGCAGGCTCCTCCCGTGCACTGTCACACACAGGGGACAAAGGGCAGCAGCACAGGAAGGCTCTGCTCACCCTGGATGGAGGCAGGAGAGCAAGGCACCATCCCCTCCCTGCCTGTAGCACCCAGAGGTGCCTGGCTGCCCACAGAGCAGGGCTGGAGCTGTGCAGCTCCACAGCCCTCGGCACTGGTGGCTCTGTGACCCAGCACCCGCAGCAGCACTGCAGCTTGAGCTGCTGCATCACCAGGGCACCGACACCCCCCAGGTGCCTCAGCTCCCCAGGGTGTCCCTCTGTGCTGTCTGTCTGTCCAGCCTCCCCTGCAGCACTGGGCACTGCGATGCAGCCACCCAGCTGTCACCAGCTCCCAAAACCTGACACAGCCCAGCTGCCACCACCACCAGGTCTTTGCAGGACCAGGTCAGGTATGCACACACCTCAGCAAACCCTGCCAGGACAGCCACAGGAACTCGATGAACAACCACAGACACAAGGAAATTCATAAATTCGTCAGCCAAAGCTCCAGTTCCCGTTACTTTGGGGAGCAGCAGTTTTGCATGGGACACAAGGAGTCTTGGTTTCCATAAGCTCTGCAGCTGAGACCTCAGCCTCACAAGAATATCTCTAACACACCAACCACTGCAAAAAAAAACATACAACACAACCAACTGGGACAGAAGCTTAAAGAGACACTGTAAAATTGATTAGTCATCAAAATCATCAGACCATAAAAGAAGCTCCAGCTGTGATCATCTTTTTTTTGTGTAGATAAATGCAAGAGGCAGGGCTCTATTTAAAATTAATTCTTTTTCTTTGGTTGGTTTTGGTTGGGGTTTTTTCTATTTACTAGAGCTTGTTACTCTGGTTGACAATTAAGATCATTATCCAATTCCTTTCTTTTTCACCATTCCACTAGTCTTTTTTTCATAGCCTTTGAAAAAGGAAATAAAAAGAAGGTAAATTCCAATAAGTGCTATTTTAAAATGAAAAATGTGAATTTACAAAGAGCTCAGGAAGATGTTTGAACCATTCAACCTTCTGTTTTAAGACCCCAGCATGCACAACACAAACAATTCCTTTCATATTGAAAGCAATTTCAAGTCACACTGCTGTGTACAAGCTCCAAGTTAAGCACTGGCCCAAATGTTCTGCCAGACCCTTGGCATAAGTGTAGGAGGGCAATAGAAAACAAAGATTTGAATTTTGGCTAGTGTACTTCTGCAAAATCACTGTCAGCACATATTTTTCAGTTCATACAAAATCCAGCAGAGGAAAATTCAAATAACTAACTTGGAGACGTTCAAAAAAGCTGCAGAAGAAAAGCCCTAATATGGTGCAACTCATGGAATTGTTCAACACTAATCATTAACCTGGGTGCTCACAGTATCCCACTGCAAACCTGGTCCTTTTGGCTTGGTTATAAACTGACCCACATGTTCTGTGGAGGCTTTCACAATACCACCAAGAATGATCCATTTTAATAGTTAAAATATCCCCTCACTGTAGATGCCTGCCTCACCAGAAGCTATTTGCTGTAGATACTCACTACAACACTACTCCCCAGCTCTAGGCACCACACAGAGCTGGCTGCAAACAATGGGGTTTTGTGCCTGGGTATCTTGGATTCCAAGGGCAAAAACCTCAGCAAAGCCTCAACCAACATCTTTATCCATGTCCCAGTTCTACCTTTGCATTCATCACCCTGAGAAACAGGAATTCGTAACCCCACCACAAAAAAGCTCTCTTTCTCTTTTTTCCGTGCTGAGAAAAAAAAGATATTGAAGGAGGAAAACATGGATTCTCTAGAGAAGGAGCAGCAAGCTGCCTGGTCATATTCCCAGGCCAAGCTACAGCTATATCAGGTTGGGTTTAACTTGTCTGGTCAAGCTCTGGCCACCTCCAGCCTCTCTGGGACCCTGTCCCCACATCCCATTACTCTTAACACCTCACTGAGAAAGCTCTCACAAATATCTCAGCTGCCACAATACAACAAGCCCTTCTCATTCCCACTGCAATAATTTCTGCCTGGGTGCTAATTTGTAAACTAGGCAAATAAAAGACAAACTTGGGGCTTGAATTTGTTTTATTGCCATTGTTGTGTCCTTTGGGTGGGATGGGCAATGCCAGTGGGGCACATTGCTGCCTTCCTCTGGATGTTCAGCCAGCCAGCCTTCCAAGTGCACAAAACTCTGGCATTTTCTAGGATAACTGTGTTTATCCTGCTGTCCTGCAGAAAAAAAAAAAATCCACCAACTGCATTTTTGGAGGAAACAGGAGCAAACCACTGGATTCATGCCTTGTGGCCAGCTACACCAAATAGCACCACATGGATTTATGGCACACAGCACTGGTTCCAATGCACAGACACCCTTCTCCAGACCCCAAAGCCTCCCTGGTCCCTTTATCCAACACCATTATCATCAAGAACCTTTAACAAGCACCAACAATCCCATAAATCTGCTTTTTATGGCATGGCAGAAGCTTAATTAGATGATTAAATTCTGTCAAAAATTAAAGCCCACACATTTGCTCTAAAATTGCAATTAGCTCTTCCAGGTACCAAATAAAAGCAATGCTAACATTTCAAAGACATGTTGGCAACACAGCTGAACTAAATTACATTACTGACCCTAAACAAATTGAGGGCATCACTTTGAGTCTCTTTCCCTTATTTTCTGTGTCTGCAAGTGTTATAAACACAGGCACTGTGATCCCTCTCAGTTGTGACCATGCAAGCCCTGAGCATTAACAAGCGAAGCAGCTCACCTATTAACTCCATGTCACACATTCTTATTCTACTGGAATCTTCTGCTCGTTTCTCCAGCATAATACTTTGCTGGGCCTCACTACAGAGGTGCAGAAATGTTTTGCTATGAACCCTTTGATTTCTGCGACACCACCTTTAATGAAGATTGACCTTTTTCAATATACAACACACATCACTTAATTTTTACAAAAAAACGCTCTGTAAATGAAACACACTCTGTGTGTAAGATGGGACAAGATATAAGATATGCACTATGTATAGATATAAGATATATCTGTATGAGATATACACCATGATGGGAAGAGACAGCTAAATTAAGCTAGTTAACGATTTGCATAAGAGGAGCAACACTTTAGCAAAATGTAACACTGCATATTAGAAACGAGGGAAGGCTTGTGGCTATTACACTTCCTAGCAGTTCTCTAGAAGTGCCCAGGGAAAGGTTTGTCACACCTGGGGAACATGAATGATACAGCAAAAACATGGTCATGTGGAAAAATAACACAGCAGGTACCCAAGAAGAGAGCAGGTATCCCAAGAAGATGGAACTCAGGTGGGATACCATCCTTGCCTTGCTTTTCCAGCTCACCACTAGCACTCTGTGACCACCAAAAGCAAACCTCAATCCCCAACTGACTGCCCAGGCATCCCCCTGCCCTTGTCCTCAATATGGTTGTGTGCCTACAAACAGGGAAATAGCACCTGATAGGTCATAAAAAAAAGGGTCTTTAGAACCTAAGTCATCTTTTACAGCTTAACAAGGTATCAGCATCATTAGATACTGTATTTTTAATTATATGCATATATGGAACAAAGGGATGAACCCAGATCAGGGCAAGCTTATGTGGCAGCAGCCCTTTACATACCTGATCCAAGCCTCCTCCAAAACACCTGCATTAAGGAATGTTCTTGAATGACATGGGAAAATGGGCTCAATAGCTAAAATGGGCTCCTCTGAGCATTTGGGCTAAAAGGCCTCTCATCTCCCTCTCCTCCTGCAGTCAGAGCTAATACCAAATGCATGGAGCAAAAAACCACCGAGCTGAGGATGTAAGGGCTAGCTAGGGTGGGCCCAGGCTGCAGGGAATGACCCACATCCTCCAGCCTCAGTGTCCCCAAGCACCTCAGCCCAGCCCTCGGGGTGGCTGTGGGACCCAGCAGCACGGCGCTCCAGGGGTGGACAGAGCCTGCCTGGGATGACTAGGCACTTGCGGGAGGGGGAGTAATGAAAAAAAAAAAAATTAAAGAAACCAAAATCAGCAAAAAAAAACCCCAGACCAAAGCCAGAGATGGCTTTGTGCCTGGTGTGGCTAAAGAGCTGCATTCTGGCGACTTTTGAGCTTGCTCAGTGCTGCTGACAGGAGGAAAAGGCGCCAGCAGCAGGGAGCAGCCATGTTCCCCAGCAGGCTGGGGGAGGAAGGCTCCCTCGGGGAATTCGTACTCACCTGGCGGTTTCATGTAATATTGCTCAATATCGGACATGTCCGTGTGCAGCGCACAATCGAGATAGTGCAGGATAACTTTTCTACTGAAGTAGTACCTCATGCCCATCAGAAAGATGGGCAAACAGCAGGTCAGCAGGAAGGACTTGGTCACAACAAAGCACATTACTATGGAGATAAGGAAGAGAAATAAACGACACCTGTCAGAAAAGAGAATTTAGTGTTGATTTCGGAATACAAACTCATTATAAAAATAAATCAACAAAACAAGCACAGTCAAAATATACATTTGCAGTACACACACAGTTCACGTTCTCGAGATTATCGTGTTAAGGGACGGCGTATCGCGACGAGACAACCCGGAGAAGTTTATGAGGTCCTGAAGGTGCTGGTGGGGA